TTCAATCGTCAAGGCGTGCGCGGACAAGGCGATAAAACGATCGGGAAAGTCCCGTATCCGCAAGAACGGGTTGAATACGAATTTCACGATACGCTAGGGTAAGTACTGTTACGCTTCATCGATCGCGAGCGATCTCTGAGCCAATATCTCATCCTCGCTTGCGGTCTATTAGATTTCTACGGCTTCCGAGGGGTCACCGTCTCCCTCTGTCGTCTCTCTTCCTCTTTTCTCCATGGAGAAAAGGGCTAACGTAAATCGCGACTCTTTCAACGTCAATCCCTGAAAAGCGCGCGAGATGGATCTTATACATTTCCGACAGTCCGGGACTTACCTCGGGACGCTCGATTTCGGTATCCCGACCGCACACCGGAGAAATCGATAGCCAGTCGCCGAATCGACGGCTCGCCAGCGAGAGATCCACTGCTTGCAGTCACGACGATTTATCGGCATCCCGTATGATTCCTAGACGGTAAGGTGCGCGCGTATTCCCGGCTACATGTTAATGCCGCATAATGTTTATGAATAGCTTTTGCGGTCTATATTCTATATAGCTGCGCGGGAATCGTAGCAATTATTCAAATAGAAAAGGAAATGCAATCAATTTCGACGCATTTCGATACGATAAATTCAACATGCGTTTAAATGCGTTATGTAGAATACTTTGCATTAAAAAAGTGATAAATGTTCTTTGTGAGCAATTTATATTATATACGATTTGCCTAATACCTTTTGAGATATTCCAGAGAAAATTGATAACTTTTTCAATCTTTAAAGTATGTAAATTTTTGTATGTAAATTCGTGTAATATTGAAAAAGTTGTCAATTTTCTCTTGAACATTTCAAAAAGTATTAGACAAATCGAGAAATGTTTCAGACAAAAAGTTGTTCATATTAATTAGTAGAATATAACAGGGGGTTCCAATTAAAAAATTGCAGGTGACCCTGAAGCAACTATTCAAGGTCAAATTAATAGACACCATCTTAGGCCTCCTCGGAACCAAACAACTGTTGTCCGAAACATCTTGTTCTCAAAGTAAAACCAAATAAGTTATTAGGGGTGGTAAATTAAAATGACTCACCCTGTATATTACATGTGTATGTATATCCTCTAAATTCTTTTCCCGTAGTTGACACACGAACATCGTAATAATTCTCGCCGTAACGGCGGAGGAACAATTTGGAGAAACTTTCTTTGGGGAGGCGAGAGAGGGATAAAATGCTCCGCTGTAAATTTCGGTGTTCCGCGTACGCAATATCCGCCGGACAAGTGTCGATAATAGGATCCTACAAGTCTGTTTTTTTCGCCGCGGCCGGTTTAGTACCCACTTTATCACGCTCGGTCGTTTCGTTTCTAGTGGATCATTCTGCATCCGACACATATGTGTAGACGCAGGTGGGTACGCTTTATGGGCCGACGTTATTATGAAAGCTCATTGTGTTGGATGGTGTCGCCGGTAGAGCCATGAGGATAGCACGTATTATATTGTTCTTACATCAATGTCCCTCTTTCTTTCTCTCTCATCATCGGCGATGTAATCATCTCTCCCGTTTTATCACGACGCGTTTGCATATAAAGGCTTGACGCGCTCGCCCTCGATTACGTTGCATTTATGACAATAATCTTACTTAAGTGAGAACATTGAACGATCGATTATCGCCAAGATCACGGCTCGGTTGACGAATTCTCGGTAAGTGAGGAGAAGAGTTATCGCTGTTAGCGCGACTATCGAAATCTTGCGCAGAAAATGTTAGAGAGGGGATCTCTTTTCTCTCGCAACGTACAACGCAACGTTCATACGTGTTTGCGGCCATTGCTGTTCAATAAATTAGCGTATGACAAACAATATCTGCGATTGGGGCGTGCGACATCAATGTGCCATTCATTATGTAGGAAATTTACCATTATGCATACACCTGTATACCTGATCAGCATGCTAGCAGAATATTTTTAACTAGATGCGTGTGCAATGCGCTAGACGAGCGTACATATTCATAACTGATGAATAACGTGAATATTCAAGAATATAAAATTGGAGTGCTTGCGCTCCACTTACGGCCATGTAAATTTGTCATACCGTTCATAAATTATGAGCCATAACGACACATTAATCAAGAGTTTACCAATATTGCTGTGGTACATTATCGCAATTACGAAATAGCGTATCGCGCATCATCGAACTCATTGACAGCCGTTATTCCCGATTCTTTAGATTTGCCCGACAGCGCGGCGGCATCGATATACCGATCGTACTGGCAAAGTTCACGTATCGCGTATAAATGTGGTGTGGTGAATTTGAAGGATTCGATAAAAACGATCTCGTAGAATAATCGGAGGGTAACGCGATACGGCATTACTGTCCGGATAACATTTATCATCCTCGCGGAAAAGAAGAATCTTCTTATTCTAGCCCTTGACAGAAGGAACGATATTTCATCGGCAATTAAATCGCTCTAATAGTAAAGGAAATTTGTTATCGCTCGGTACGTCGTAGCAAGTTTGCGACACTTACATCTTAAGTGTAAAGCGTGCGCAGTGCAGAAAGTTATTATTAGTTTCACAGGAAAGCGTACTTTCCGGCTTGGAGACGAGCGTAAAATACCGGGAAACAACGTTACGTCGTTTGCAAAGTTAGCATCGTGCGAGCATAGCACATACATAGCACTTTCCCGAACTGAGTGAGAAAATTGTAGAATTTCGATCCATCATTTCCGTTTCTCTCGCATTCTCCAGCCGGATCTCGTCCGTACGGTTTCTCGCCGAGGACGAGGCGTGGCGTAGCGGTCTGGCATAGCCATCAGAATTTACCGTCTCGCGGCTGACATTATCTGCGACGAAATACGTTATTTTTCGGGGAGCTAACGCGTATATACGTTTAGCGGAACATTACCCTCGTCGACGCGCGCGAGTTTGTCCGCGGACGTTATTTATTGCTTATTCGCTTCACTCCGCGTCGTACGGTAAACAGCACTGTACGAGGGACCTATAAAGTGATCCTGCATGCACGCGTTATTGCGCTCACTGTATACCGTCCCGGTGAACGCAATTTGTTCCTTCTCTCACAGTCGAGCGCGAGAAGAAAAAAAAAGTGGAAACTTGACCATCCGTTTCCGATAGAACAACTTCCTCCGTCTATTTATCGCCGCACTTAATTTCTGCGGTAATTACCTTATCGACGTCCGTTTCGCTCCCGTTCGATTAAAAAGGGAAGACGGGGAAAAAGGCGAGAATACGCAGAAGTTAGCCCTCGGTAGGTTTTCACGGTGCGAACCGACGATATTTTCACGTAACCAACCAATTACGTAAATGAAACCCACTCTCGCTACGACGACATTGCTCATTCTCACTTTACGTAATTACAGTTGGTGCACAAACGTGCCGTAGATCTGTGATCGAAATCTACCGATGTCGCTTTGAAAACATTTCAATCTTCCTCTCGTGACCATTAACCCATCCCTTGGCGATCGCTGAGGTGTTTGAGAAACTGCTCGTTTCCACTCGGCTGTGTCTTGTATAATATTACTCGGAAAGCTAAACAAACGCAGTCGACCGTTTTTATTAAACATTACGCAACGAAAATATATATATATTAATTGCGCATCTAGGGCGCGCAAATGTAATACTTTGAAGCGCTTTGCGAATATGAGCAGGTGGATGTACCGCGCGTCGGTTTTACGGCAGCTTTTACGGTAACCCTAAGCGTCGTGTGGAGGAGAGTTGAAAGACAGGATAGGATCGACCTTCATAAGCTTCGGTGTCTCATAGCGATGGCTCCCATTCGAGCCTCGAGTACTCTCATGACTCCGTTGTGCTGGTAAAGGTTCTCATTGTCACGCATTCCTACGTACGCCGCAGCTGTTGTTGTTCACCCGTATTAAGAGATAGATTTACATGAGTAAACACGTTGAGGTCTAGAGTCCCACGTACAAATTGAGATTAGAGTCAAGCCTGGGAGTATTTGAGTAATTTGAATGCATGTAATTAAATGTTTAAGGACTGTATGAGCATATACACAAGCGTCGAAAGTCATTTCTGTAGATAACTTTTCATTCACGCAAAAGTTGTAAGTCGGAAAGAGAGAGAGAGAGACTTGATTGTTGCTTTTAATATAAAAAAAATTATACGTTGTAACATAATGAATCTATAGGTCTAGCCGTGTGTCCTCTCACGTCGTATTCGAACGCTGCTAAATTGCGCCTTAACAATTGTCAATAAAAGACGAAATAAGTTTCGAGTTTGGAGCCACGAATAAACAGGCAGACGGCAGTCGAGTCATCGACAGGAGCTACTTGTCAACTGAATTTATGGTGAATACTTAGGATATAAGACAAGCATCTTATTTTCATGAAAAAGCCGTAAAGTTCGGAGTCCGTCGAGCTTTCACCATCGTCCATAACATACGGGTGATGATTCTACAAGCGTAAAGTACTCACAAAGTTTATACGCCGCCGCGTTACGGAGAAGTTATGTGCCGAGGGCTCTGGGGAAAATCATATTTCTACACGTATTCGCCGACATTCATGTTGAAGATATCAAAATAATCCTTTTAAACAACGACAGGAACCATATACCCCAGGGGCTGATGTTACCCTTATTCTTTCAGACTTCGTAAAAGTATGTTACGTCTAAAGTAAAATTTTATTTTACATCGAGGTATCCTGTTTCCTAGACTGTGCGTCACGTTTCCCAGATTACATTTCAGTCGTTTGAAAGTCCCACGGGTACGATAATTTTTCCTTTTTTTTCTTTATAAAATTAATCTATCAGATCTAATAAATTAATTAATTATGATACAAATTGGCAAGCCGTACCATTTATCGGCAGACAGACGTCCTTGTATTTTTTTCACGGTTAACCGAGGGAAAGCCTGTCATTCCAATTTTACAGTACTTTAGCTTGCACAAATTTATCTTTTGTGGAGGAAGTGCCGTGGGACGCGGCGAGGCAATTATTGATTAAGAAAGGTGATAAATCGCGTGCACAGCATGCAATGTATACTTACTAGTAGCGCTGACAGCTGGTCCGATGACCGAGTACTTGAGGTTCCCCGTAACGGCCCCTGGGATCTTGTCCGGCTCTGAAACACATTATTGTAATTATCCCCAGAATATACAGTGCCGTTAATTACAACAGGGAGTCGCGTATGCAATGGACCGCAGCCAATCTACCATAGTACAAAGGATCTACCCGCATGATTCATTGTCTTGTAAATACGTAAGGGTGTATTCTTGTTCAAAATGAGAATACCAGCGTCTAACCTTTACATTTTCCCAAAATAATAATTAAATTGATAATTAATATCGATATTAATTAATTTAATACATGTTGATGTAACGACCAAAGGCATTATCGACAATTCCGCCTTGTAGTAATCCACGTATCGTGATATACAATTTAATACGTCAGAAACTCTGTAGTTAATATACGGTAATCAATATATCAAAATATAATTGTCATTTTATTGTCGTATATCTGTTAATGGTAATGTCGAAAAATATAGTAATAACAATAGGTAAATGCAAAGGACAAACCAAATATGTCTGAAAAATGGTGGATGGTTTGGCCGATTACCAAGTAAGCAAAGAACATTTCCAGCCTGCTAACGCAAGCTTCCTCTGCGGGTGTTACAGTTTGCTGGGAAGCTTGACGATCTTCCTTGCCGACCGTGAAAAGCTCCAGCATTATTGGAAAGCTTCGCAAAAGCTCTGTTTCATGGCGCTTTCACGCTTCAGTATAGCGACGCGTTATGTCGAGCTTTTGAACTTGTTCTATTTGAAACTACGGTACCGACCGAGTTTGCAACCTATTTCGATAATTTAATATTAAATTTTTAATAACTTCTTTTAGACTTTACAATCATTCTTTATATTTATGTCTATCACAAAGATGTGAGTGTACTTTAATAAAGATAGAAAATGAAAATTTCGATATGTTTACACAATGAGAATTTTTATGACACTGAATAGTCAGAAGAGATAAAATGATAAAAAGCAAAAAAATTGGCTATCGCGAATGTAGGAATTTTTTAGAAAGAACAGAAAAGTGTGAAACAATTGAGAAGAATGGACAATCTAGATCCGAACACATAGCGAAATCTATTAGTTTTCCCATGTCTATTCCTCAGTACGTGGTACAAGGCAATGGATAATTTAATGGCTCGTCCCATGACTTTAGGGACTCACCTGAGCGGAAATGCCGTCAATAGCCGCGGTCTTACACATCGCAGGAGATGAGACGGTGCCGAAGAAAGAGGAGCGTGGCCGTGGTGGTGGGATCGAAGGATGGTCGGAAGGATGGATTTTCGTGATGTCGACGAGTAATCATCGTTCGATCGTTACTGACCAGGATGCAGCGCATCGTCCAATGGCTGGAATTGGAACATCGCCTTGAAACCCTGGCCCGGCCATTCGGAATTAGCGACGAACTCGACATAGAGACCTGGTCCCGTACTGAGTACCTCCACTTCCGCTCCCTGGTTGCAGAGTACGGCTATTGTGGGCGCCCCTGAATCCGTTCCGTCGTGCACCCTGATTAAATCCGCCCTATTCAGGCAACTGTAACAGGATGTGCCTTTCGTTAGAAGCCGGCAACTTATCGGTACATTACCTTCAGTCGTGACTAATCCCCGCTCTGAGAAATTAAAATATTCTCTTTCAATCGACACTTGTGCTGTTAAGCATTAAGAATATGTTAACGTAATCTTGCTGCTTTAACGTTTGCATCTAACAATACGTTAAAAATGTTAAAGCGTCTTTGTAGGAGTTTACCTCCATTAAGATTTATATCTCGTAATGGGACGCACGAATAAAGAGAGAGAGAGAGTGTCCTCGAGATTCTCGGCAACGAAGAATGTTAAGTTCGCTTTGAGAGTGCTGCGGCTCGTCTAAATAACGCGCGTGAGGAGGAACCGAAGGAGAAGACAAAAGAGACGAAAGGTGGGACAAAGCGAGTTCAGTGGGGTTGAAGGTGAAACTGTGAAGAGTGTACGGTGACAAAGGACGGCGTCGTCGGCAAGACGAGCGGTGGACGGCAGGCCAAGGAGAGAATCTCAACGACCGACGATTCATTCCATACGTGTACGCCAACTACTCCGCTCGATCGTACCGAAGGAGAGTATTACATCTTTCCGGTGCCTTCGCTCGTAGGAATCGTGCACTACATCGACGGGATCGACGAATCGATCGATTTAAAGGCTTGATCGATGACGGCAGACGGGATAACCTTATTACTTGCACAGGTTAAGCAATTACGTTGGCAGAGAAAGATTATCGTCGGAAGAGCCAGAGATTAAAGAGCCATCTCTGTCCCGCCTGCCGTTCCGCTTCCTCGCCACTGAACCTACACGTGCGACTTCTGACCTCATTTACACGCGCACGACAGTATTCATTTTTCTCCGATGTAACGCCGTAAGATATTTTATTATATATCTCTCTCGCGAATCGACAGAGGCACGACGAGATATTCCTCAATTTCGATCGCCGTATTTGAATTATTATAATGAGCAGACGCAAATCCCTCAGATCTGTGTTTAAAACAATCAAATTGAAAAGTTTAACCATGGAGTTAGTGGTGCGCGTAAGTGAACTGAACGCGAAGGCAAGCAAATCCGTCTATCAAAGTTAATCTAGCGTAGCATCGCGCGCCCGGAGTGTGTACACGGAATTCTTCAAGTGCCCAACAAGATTTACTTCGGGCCATCACCGACTCCATTTTGCTCTCGTCGATTTTATTCGTATTTCGTCTACTATGTCTCAGTGGCTATTCCATGAATATCGTTAAAGTAGCGTTTACCTTTGGAAACTTGAATTCAAGCGTGAAAGCACGTTGAAGTATCGAATGGCGATACAAAGAACCGCTCTACGTCTTCTTTTTCTTTTTATTAAACTTTTCGCAAGTTAACGTATATAGTAAGGGATTATTCATTACTTATATCCATAGGAAGGGATTATTGATACTGTCGATAGTTCCCCCAACTATAACTTTATATGAGCGAACGAGTGCGTGCTATAAGCGTGCACTCGGGTAGAGTGGGAGTGTATCGAGTGTTGGATGGAGGAGTCTCTCGGTATCCATCAGCACCATTCACGATAATATCCGAGTGCATCTGACGGAGCGGCTTAACGTTGATATATGGAGGCATTTCTCAGCTCTTACCCGAGCTCTTACAGATTTTTACCACCAGTCTTGGAGAAAGTGCCATCGGCCACGACATAAATTAACGCTATCGATCGCAGATTTGTCCACCGTATTTCCCACTATATCGTCTTTCAATTCCCGCGCTAGCTATAACCGATAATATTGCGATTATAATATTTCAGTTGACATATTCATCCAATTCTCCTTCTAAATCGCTATTTTTCTAATTGTAGAATGCGCATTCCAGTCGATTATTTCTGCAAATGTAAAATAAAATCTCTTTTTCGAGTTATTTATTACCTCGCGTTATTGATTTTATTTACTAAAAAATAATTAGCGGTGTATATAAAGCTTTGATAAACGAAGATTAAACGAAAATCCAGTTATAACCGTATACATGTTTCATGAAAGCGTGAAAAGTTAATAATTGCACGAGTCGATTGTTATTTCGTCAGGTTCGGATATTCTTCTCTGATTTGACGTTACACAACGAAGGCATTTATTTACCATAACCACTTCGTATAAATACGTCAGCTAATATTCGATCCATTTATCCTGTTACATAAACATCGTTGGATCCGTCGACATACATAAGAATATCAATTAATTTTTACTCAACGCTAAAAAATTGCACATATTATTTCTATAAAGAAAGATTATATTATAAGTATTCTTGATAGAATATCTTTGTCGCAAGGGATTAGATGCGTCAACTATTTAAGAAATATACATATATCTCAATATTTTCGGATTGAATAAATTGCACAACGCTATAGAAATTAATTATTGACAAATTACAAATTTTGTTATAAAAATAAATCCCCGGTTTTCGCCACATTGGCAGCCAATTGCTCGTGAATCACTATGCTACAGGCTATAGCCGGACCCCGATAAAACGTGCGAAACAGAATATAGAGTGAAGTTTAAATGAGATTTGGTACCAGTTTTATACTCACAAAATAAAACCACCGCCAAATAAAGTAGACAGCTTAAAAATTTAGATAGTAATATGTGTCTGCAGAAATATATGTGTACACCTCTTTAAAATATTAAAAAACAATTTTAACGTTAATCTCTTCTTATCACATTAAGCGTACATCTGTACTTGGATCAATTTCGCTGTCGAGCTAAATAGATTCGATTAAAAAGAATTATTTTTAATATTTTATCCGAAAACGCGCGGACGCGAAAGCTAGTTACTTTCAGGATGATATTTTCTTTTTATTTTCATCTATGTTGCTTCCATACCGAGATTTGTGTAATAGCGTAATACGATTTGAAAATTGCTTATTATTCATATCTCGTTGCACTCGCTGTAAAAATTACATTTGTTTTCGTATTATGTGAGCTAGCCCTGGGTGTGTACACAATTTTCTCAAATTTCATGAGCGCGTCACTTCTTACACTCATGAGCTGTTACGCTCGCAAAAATTGGTTTTTCAAATCATATTTAAATCATATTTTCTTCGTGGAGTTATTTTTTACGAGAATTATACAATTTGCGTATAAAACGTCATTGTTTGATGATAAAGGCAAATAATTGTTCAGCCTTACCACGACATTATCTGCTTGAGTATTTTTCTCAATTTTCGCAGTTTAATCGCAAAATCATTGATTTTCATTTGAGAGTTCAAAGTTAAAAGGTCACTAACGGAATGAAATTAAGGGAGCTCAATACTGAATTAGGACAGAGTTCGAGGATTTATCAAGGATTAACTCCTGCACGCTGCAACTGCAAGTCCCCAGGCACCTCTCGTTTCTCCAAGTCGACCTCCCAATCACCATTCTCAGCTCTAAGTCTTCGCGCAGAGAGGAACTTTATGTGGGTTAAGTAGAATCGTGGTCCACACCGTATTCAAAGGATTTAGAGGTCAGGTGTAACCGGCACACACTACGGGGGGATTTAAAAGGCGAGAATTCCCGTAAAAGTACGCTATCGCTGTCAAGTCGAGATCGCGTTGCGGCCAAGTTAATTACAACGAGCTGCGAAAATCGTGCATTAAATTCGTATAACTGGCTTTAAATCCTTAACAAAGACCGATAGGAACGTAGTTCGGTAGAATTCGTCTCGTAAATATCTTGCAAGGTATTCGTAGCGCTCGTAGGCGGAATATGAAGTTTACCGAGCTACATGTAAGAAACACGAAAAAGAGAGAGATTGAAAAAGAGAGAGAGAGAGAATGAGAGGGAAAAAGAGCGAGATCTCGACATGAAATACAGCTCGAGTGAAATATATAGGACTCGCTCGAAAAAATATTCCGATCTTCAGCACGTGCATATGGAGTCCAAGCTTGTCACGTTTTCAATGGCACTAACCAGAGGAAAACGAGGAGACAGGAGGATCTATGGCAACTAGCTTGAAAGGATCGGTAGTCTAGCTGGCAGTATTACTGCCTGGCAGATTTATGCCAGTAATATCTGAAGCATTAGCAATTTGACGTATTGGCGACCGTAAAATTTGGAGTCGCGCGCAGGAAGAGGCTATCTCTCATTCATGGACTGATAATACATCAGATCCCTTCGGGTCGGCGAGCGCGAATGTATCTGGTCTCCCGCTGATTTGCATGCCGTAAGTACACGGAACATCAGCCCCGCGTATACCCTAAGTACTCAGGAGCAGTACCGATCGCGGAAGACCAACTCACGAACGCTCCTCGCGCGGCGTAACGAGATATATCTAACGACCGCGATTATTCTCGGCACGCACATGGAACGCTCATAAAACGTAGCAAGTTCAATACGTACAGCAGCGTTCAAATTACAGCAAACTCGTCCGTCGATCGATCGTTCACTCGCACGTTCATTGGTCAACGCGAAAAACATGCTACGCAAACAAGCCTATCTCTTCGCGGAATATTACTGTACGGAAATTGCAAATTGATACGGATATCTCTCCAAATACATCAAACGGCTCCTTTTCAATCACACATGTGACATTTTCTTCATAAACATATATGTTTCAACATACGAGTATAGTTTCGATAACGATCAATTTTATTCAATAGGAGACTTACCTACGAATAATTGATACAAGTATTTTACATTTATCTCATATCTTAGAAATCTAATGTTTTTCAATTTGCAAAGTCGATATTCGTAGTACGTAACGATATTCGCTGTCGCTCTGGCCGTTGCGTATCGTTTTCATTCAAATAATTTATTCACATTCTCAATATACCTGAAAAAGTACACGCGTGGAGAAAACAATTTGGAAAAGAAAAAGTGTCTTCAAGAAAAAGACTAAGGAATACCCTAAAGAATATTAAACGACACAAGTTGTTTGAAATTGTTAGCGTCTCGCGTGTCGTTCATCGGCAGTGAGTCAGTTTCAGCAGGATTCTGCATCAACGTCTCTCGGCAGCGAGGATAACGCTTACGACGCGACACCCACCGTCATTACCGCTCCTCGGCAAACATTCAAACGAGTTCGTTTGATTAGTTTAATGGTTCGTTTGGTTTTACTCCTCCCTAAGTGTCGAATCTCTATCTCGCGCTACCTCGACCTAAATGTTTTACCAAGCTGGCCGAGCCAATCGACGCCGATTATCATCTATTCGCGTCGTCGCCTAGTCGATAAAATCCTCGGATATCACGGAGTAACTTTTACGATTGCCACGAGTACAGACAAGTTTTACTCGAAATTAATCCGATTTGAAAGGCTTGGAGTCACTCGGGAGGGAACGACAGATTACGCTCGAGCATCGACGCATGTTTTCGTTGGTCAATTCTAAATGGCAATTGTAGAATTAAATTAAAAAGTGGTAAATATACTAAATTAAGATCGGGAGTGACTTTATTTCCCGTGTAAATCCCCATTGCGTCCTTAATCTATCTGCTGAATATTGCCAGCGCGCCGACTGACGTCTACACCGCTCGATCTGTAGCAAATATACGGAGCTGTATCAGGAGAGAAAGTTTTAAATAGAAAAGTTTCGCCTACACTCTCATGATCCTGATATTCGTTATTGCATCTCGTTAACTCTTAAACGTTAATAACTGACAGGTCGTAATTTACAATTAGCGCAATGGTGATTCGTGTGTGTAAATCTTTACCATACTCCAGAAAATGGCACACGCAAAAGCTTTAAGATCTGTGAGAAAAATGCCTCGTACTTAAGTTGCCACAGTAATGATATGCAGATTCCTCTCTGCTGCTATCTATAGATAACTAATAGAAAGACATTTGCTTCACAATACCTCTTAGACTCCGATAAGTACCCGCCAAGTTAAAATTTAAGAGAACGTCTTTCACGTAAGTTTTATTTTCTAATAAAAAGATGAATCATTTTTGCCTCTAACAACATAAATTAATGTACTGGTTTATCAAATAATTAATTTTAAGTAAACTACGCTTAATATTTTTTTTATCGCAATGAGAGATACATTTTCACATTTTGTTTCAATGTGAAAGAGGTAAAGTCGCCAGCGAAACTAATAAAATTTGTTACCAAAGCTATAAAAATGTGTTCGTCTTCGGTAGTAACGATTGAATACTCCCGTAATTCCAACTTGGATAATTTTTTCTTGAAACTACGCGAACGGATGTTGCGCTTTTGGCGATAGTGTACGTGTGCACGTATAAGTGTGCACAAACTTAAAGTTTTTAACAGCCCTGCGGCTTTCATTACGTGTCTTGTTCGAGTTGTAGGGTTATTGGTCTGGAAAATGCAGTGGGAGTTGGGTGGAATCTCGAAGCTGTGCTAAAATATCCTGAATATACGTAGAAAGCATAACAAAATGCTCGTTACTTTTTTCTAATGTAACGTAACATCGGACTAATTGTAAGATTAATGTAAAACGGAAACTCTGTAACGAGCAAATTCTTGAAACGTGCTTTGATTATCGAATAAGAAGTAAATAAATTTTCTAATGTAGCGCAACATCAGGCTAACATTAAGATTCAAGTAAAACGAAACTGACTCATTGTCAGTGACAAGCGAATTGTTGAAACGTGCCTTAATTGCCGAATAAGAGGTAAATCAATACGTACGAAAAGCGGTAACGTCTAAAGCTCTACTTATCACTTGAATGGAAAGCCAGCCATCTGGACATGTCTCTGCGTCCGTACTCCATTTACGTCCATCCGGACATCTCTCTCGCGGTTTCGGCTACGCGCTGTTTTCAACACGCCGCACACGGACGACAGTTTCAAAGTTTTAAATCGACAGGTCGCGCCAATGCCGTCCTACCAGCCGACGGGGCTTAATGGCGCATCTTTTACATAGACGAGGCAGCCCCGGTCATACTTGGTGAATTCACGACTTTGATCCTTCCCGCTAAATCTCCCCAGCTTTTTCTCTTTCGTAACTTGCGGAACTCAATTTCTATCCGGGATATGCGAAGAACGTACGGCAAACTTTTTCCCACGGATGCACCGAACGTTGCTCCCGCAAATCTATCAACTTCGGGATGCACCGGAAGGAAAAATTTGTAAACCATTTATGATGGGGAGAAATTTTGAAACGGCGCGTGTGGAAAATGCCACGGAGACAACTAGTACGATCTCTAATTCGTGTTGCCTCGCGTTTACTCTCCGTTATTGTTCGTCATTACTTCTCATTTAATACGATACGTATGTCACGTTTTCCATACTACGCTAGAAAATCTGAAATAAAAATGCAATACTCGCCTTAGATCTCCTTTTTGCAGAGAAATCTCTTCAAAGACCAAACGGATTCTCTCCTTCAACCTAAAACACAATTAACTAAGTTACTCCGCGTGCGTTTATCCCAGATGAATACATTAAAACGCCACTTATTACTGTATAAAAGCCATGGTAAACGCTATATAACTCGCGATATTAAAACTTGCATTTTTATGAATACGGAAATATTATTACATGCATTTTTCGTCCGAGCGGTACCGCGCGGCGCAGCGGCACACGCGCGCGGTTTATCTTGTTCCCCGTGGTACTAATGAAACAAGATGGGCGAGAGCTGTAATTAATTTCATTATAAGCGCACCTAGCGTATGAATTTGTTAAAACGACGGCGACGACGACGGCGGCGGCGGCGGCGGCGGCGACGGCGGCCGTGAACAATGTGACGGGACCAAATCTCTTTACGAAAAAAGATTTATGGCTGAGTGATAGAAAGTGCCTTTATAAAGACTTAACAAATATGTAGCTTGATGAAGCTATGAAAGAAGAACCAGAATATATTTGTACTTGTGCTGTTTTCCCCTCTGCTTTCTTTCCGTCGCGTTTCTTCCTCACGTGTGAGAATAATCATTGAAAGACTCGTAGCGATGATGGCGTCGGATAAAGGCCGTCGAGGCATCGAGAACAGTGTGGTACGTTAATATAGAGCGAGTGTCATGAATACCTAGCAGATAGACTGCACGCACGTATGTATGTACACGTATATGTATCCGCCGGCTTTATAGCGGCTGGCATAGCGAACGGCGCTGCGTTGACATAACTGTTAGACATATAGGGTTACACACGCTACTTTGATACAATTACTGTAATTAAGCAGCAACCCACAATACTACGGAAATCGCACTCGCGCATACTAGCCCGGCGCCGCGATTAAATTCATCACGATTGAGCGACGTTCTGACTCGACGCCGTTAACTATTTCCTTTGATCGCTGCACGTAGATCAGACATCCACGGAAATCAATGAACTGTGCAAACGATACGTAGCGTGAATTGTGACGTATTATAGATATAACGCAAAACTGTGAAATCCCATTAGATAAGTAAATAGGCTAAATAAATACTCTAAAATAGATTAAGGGGGAGAATAATAAATTACTTTTCTCTTCTACGTGTACTCTGGTAAATTAATATTACCGCGTTTAACGTTTTGTCGGTTAACACTGCGTTACATTTTCATACGTAAATCGCGACGAGGTCTAGCCCCTCTCGGTGTTGTTCCGTGGGACCGGCTAGAGAATAGCAACGCTTCCTGCGAGGGATCATGCCAAGAACTTGCCGGTTTTTCCTCCGCTAGCTGGGCGCGAGTGCAGCTTTTATGCCGCTGTGCTGCGAAACGGCTTGCGACAGGACGGACGTAAACTTTTGGCGGCCACGTAACAAGGAACCGAGATGAGGAACGACGAAAGTTGAGCTGGGTAGGAAGCCGGAAAATTTCTGATGATGGGGAGAACCGCGCTAGTACCAAAACTCAACATGACCTCGTATCTAAAACCAGTACGCCGAGTTTTAGTGGTCTGCGCTGGAAATTAAACCTTTTTCTGAACGCCGTGCGAAACAAACGGCATGCCGAGTTCGATATGATTGAACGTCCTTCGATACGTTAGATTGCGTGTTAATGAACTGCGAGCAGGATTACAGGTTGTCGTCATTAAACGTGCTAAAGCGGTAGATATATGGCGACGGCGGAGATTAGCAGCGGAGATACATTATATATGGATTAGACTCTCCGGAACAGAGCGCATGGGCTCACAAGGGTAGGTCAGATTAGTTACCTTGCCCGGAAGAGGTAGGAGCACCGGATGTTCTTCGGGTAGGAGGATGGGTACCGCGGCGAATAAAATCGTCCGTACTGAGGCGTCGATTGCGAACTGACGAACTCGTGGTCGCATATCGTGCCGGGCACCAGCAGACCGTCCATTTCGAATTTACCTGCAACAAAAAGAAAACGAGGCCCGCGTTACAACGTCATTGATTTTGCGACATGTCTGCTCGTCTCTCGGACGATCCTGTTTTAGTTGTCATTTTGACAAGGCCATCGGACAAGGTTGTCCCAGTTCTTTCTGGGTTGTTGGTTCGTTCAATCTACACCTGAAACTGTAAAAAAGGTCGAAAGAAAATCTGCATTCGCCAGAAACTATTTCACCATGTAAACAGACAATCTTGAATCGTTGTTAAAAACGATATGTAACACGAATAACTACGTATAGTAATTTTATAAATTGACAAAGATTTAGTTTTGTAACTGATGTTTTTAATTATCTACCAATTCTCGGTAGAAACTTTATATGTATATTCGATTGCATACAACATCTTCCTGGTCGATCTTATAGGTTCATCATCTCCTACTATTTTGAAAAAGCTATTGATAAACATCGCAACGCGTGCAGAACAAATTCTATCTGAAAGCTGTCTCTCGCGGGAATGGGAATCGAGATGAAATAAAATTAACGATCGCAAGAGCGTGTCCTTAGAGCGTGCAAATATACCTACTGAATCCGTTACGTATTGATTAACTAGTGGCGCGTCCCACACTCCTTTGTAAGGCGTCGCCATGGTAAAATGATTCAATTTATAACCGAATGTGAGTATCGTTACTCGCTTACGATTACGAAAATGCATAACGGTACAATGCACCGAATCGAAGTTAATCCTAATTTTTTTTTTCGTTTATCCAACCAGCCCGCCTCGTTAGTTTTTGCAGAGTAGGAGCGCGCGTTTCCAAACAAAACCAAACAACAAGCGTATATAACGGATATTTGTGCAATAGCGATTTCGACGTGCGTTCGGAACTATGTACAAATATCTCGAGTACGCGCGATAACGACATCGGCAGGAAAATACAGTGCCGACCGATTTTGTTAAAAGCGCAGGGAATTATCGCCGTTCGTGTGCGTACAAAGGACTCGTACCGTTTTTAAATTCCACGATTTCTACGGGATATGTACGGGCAATTACATCGCTGGCTCGCGCAATTCAGAATACCCGAGATCGTTCTTTTGTGCTTGAAACAAAAGCGAGAGGAAAAAGCGGTAGTTTCCGGAAGATAAAAAACGGACAGGAGGTTAGAAAAGGTCGTCGGCCGCATCTATCTGCTAGTGAAGAGATTCCGTAAAAGAAATGTCGAATTCCAGAATGAATTAATCGTTAACACGCCCATCGGCACAGTTCTATTGTAAGTAATGCGAATAGCAGTCACGAAGATCCAATATACGTTTGCATTGTACTCGATCAATTATCGTGATAAATGGAGCCCCGTCGGACTTTATGATATTCGAAGAGCATAATTAGATTATAAAATAATGATCTGTCGACCTCCTCGAATATCGGCATTGAGATTCGAGAAGTAATATATCCAAAATGGAGAATAAAATAACCCATAGGTATGAAAGAAATCTTATAACAGTGCAAGTCTCAGATGTTGTAAACATTTCAATCTATTTCTTTTTCTACCGCTAGTTCCTTCATTTTACACAATAGCAAACTAACTGTATATAGTAAAAGTAACAAAATTACTTGTCGTTCAAAATCGTGCGGAATTAAATTGAGTAAATTTTTTATTTCATTATAATTTGTACAATGCTTTGTATAAAATAAAGCAGCTAAAATTAATCAAATAATTCTCCAGAGAAGGCAATTTTTATCACCGTACTGCCTCTCCGTCCTCCCCGTCACCTCTTCGCCCAAGTGTACAGTAAAACACACACAGCATAGGATAAGAACACCGAGCAATTTCATCTCCACCGTGCGATATTAATAAGTTAATTTCGAAATATATATAATGTCTATTTGCTTACGTCACTTCTGCTACGAGTGATCCTTAAATTATCGATCCATTTTGCAAATTTCAAGTTTTAGACACTGCAAAAATTATTCCCATCATACGTTTTAAACTTTAATACGATAAAACTTATCGAAAAAATTAAGTCCGAGTGAGACTTTACTTTCTTCGTGAAAAAAAGAGTGTCCTTTTTTCATCATAAATTAGAATCTTTGATGAATTTTGTTTAGCTTTTAAATACATTTTTCACCCGCTTTCTTATCTCCCTTATACTCACCGCAGAGTTCAGACAAACTATTCCAAGTTTAGTGTCGGTGTGTTCTGGGGTAAAGCAGTACGATCGACTTCACACACACATTCGTGCGTATATGGCAGCCTATCTCTCGTGGGGAATCGTACGTGTGCCGGACGCTTGATATCGTCTTGATATCCGACGTCACGTTGCGGTTTGCGAGACAAGTGTGGTTTATACCGGACAACGAGGATAAAGATCAAAACGGAAAGTCAAATTTTTTCGACTTTTCACAAAAGATAAGATAGAAAAGATTAATAGAACGATAACCGATTAAAATGCTCACGAGTAATATTTGTAGTTTCGTGTTTGTTTGGATTTTTCAGTTGCATTCATATTTTTCTAATCGAACAATCATACCAATGTCGTTTCATTTTTAACTTCGTCCAATCTCCGATAAAGCTTTTTTGTAAACCAAATTCATAGATGAGGCGCATAACGTTCATCATGAAAATTGTATGTGCTAGCACGCTTCATGACGTCGGTTTTCGCTCACGGTGCAGTGTCACGGTTGCAGATTGCAAGAACGTTCTGTCTTGTTACGATAGAGAGCTGAGTACTAGACGCAAGAAAAGCGAAACATCATTCTCGGGATGATAGATCTCTATGCTTTGTTAAAATATTGAATGAATTCATTAATTACTAAGATTGATAACATTGATTTATAAATTAACTTATGATAACATAAATTATGTACGTTGCTTTCTATATTATTGGAATTATTTTAAGCCAATGTCTTATAACTTTTGCGTATATCAAGGTTGCATTGTTGAAATGAATAGGTACGTAACAATAAATGAAGATAATTATTCAAACTTATCACACAAGCATAGTGTTCAGTATATGCGTCTTACTGACCGAATAATTTCACTTCTAATAATATTTACGAAATGGAAGCATGTAACATAACATACAAAAATTGCAATTGTATATACACTAGTTTTATTTTTACTTTTTTTTCATAAATCAAAAGCGAAAACTTATCTTGTCAATGTGTATCGTAATGTTAATGTCTATCAAAAGAAGAATAAGATGGCTGTGATATGCAATTGAAATTAACACGAGATTTCTCGAGACGCGCACACATGTATTTAATGCGTGCTGTACTCTCGGCACTGATTTATTTCAAATTTTTACGTTATCGGGAAAAGCTGTGCATACGTTTGAATTATGAAACAGCTCCATTGGGATAGCAGTCCCAATTACGAGTCTAGTGGCAAGTCAAAACTCTCTCAAAGTCATATCTCACGTTGGCATGGAATTACGATCACATAGTTTAAAAATGGTGCACTGTTTTAATTCTCCTTTGCTTTTTTTCTATCGTTGCATTTTTTGCGCGTTACAGATTAATGTTCTTCGCCGCATAAAATACCGGCATTAATATTCTTGCACTAATTATGAGATTAATTTTTTCTGTACTTTCCGCAATTGTGACATCGAGGTTTTTTGTGCAACCATACATAATCTGCGTTAAAGTGGGGTTTTTAATTAATGAAGCTCGTGCAAGAATGATAAATTAAAATCCCTATGGAAGTATAAGTCGATGTTGGCATCGTCGATTTCCAATTTCCATAGAGCGCATTTTTATTTCCCACGCGTGCACACGCTAAGCTTCCGAGGGTGAAACCGCGTACCGACAGATCTTATCTGAATATTTTATAGACCAGCCCACGCTGGAGGTGACAAGCATAGCCCGGTGTCGATGCATAAAATTTCACATCACATCCTCGGTCATTCGCAGGTAGGATGGAAAATGTAGACGGAAATAAAAAAAAAACAAAACCGTATTCTCGGTGACGTTACGTCTCAATATGTCGTTATCGGAAGTTAAAGCTCCTCGCTTGAATAACGCTGGCATTTGAGTCAGCGTTTCGGAACTTTCAAGGCATTTCAGTCAGTAAGATGCATCAAACACCACGTGCTGCAATTTTGAACACTTTCCATTTACTTTTATGTCGCTTATTCATTTCAACAATACAACCTTGACACACGGAAAAGTTATAAAATATCGCGTTAAAATGATTCAGATGATACAGACAGCAACGTACATAATTTGTGTTCAATAAGTTAGTTTTATAAATCAATTTTATCAACTCTAATAATTAATGAATCCATTTAACATTTTAACACAAAGTCATGTAATTAATAATCTTTATGATCTAATTATCTTATGATAAATTATGAATGAGGTTGAACTTGTAGACTCGATCTTGCCACTCCAGAAAATTAAGTTTATGAATGAAAAAATATGGAAAGAGATTAAGTGCGGTATTCTATTCAGTTGAGTACAAAGAGGATCAATAGTTTACGTTCATTTTCACTACGGCACATTAGAAATCGTGTATGGCATTTAACATTGGCATTTTACCAGACACTCTCATCTCTATTCCTTTTGGCCTCGTCTCTGCGTACCGTCTTCTTAATTTCTTTAAAGTCATGTGAAATTTTCCGCGAGCGCAGAGTCATTATGTGCGCGCAAACGTAGCTATAAAGAGAGTACGTACAAATTAAATAAAAACCAAACTTGGAAAGCACAGAGGCTTGCACTTTCATGGTTTGCAAGTGTAACCGCGTCGTGAAATCTTGAGATTCATCACAAATTTTCTGTGGGGAAAATTACGGAATATTCATAGTAACTGCTGATTACGCTCGCGTGAGACCACGCACCGAGCTCTTTTTATAGGATTCAAATATTTTACCGGACTTAACGAAGTTATAAGCGCGACATTTAAATACTTGTTGCAAATAATTTCACGCCAATAATTGGTTTTAATCATACAAAATGTTGCATTTGTGCAGCCTCTATTTCCGTTAAAAAAGTAATATAAATAATCATAATATATACAATATTTT